AGGGAAGGGCCTACAGAGTGTTCAAGGTCTCACTACTAGATTGGACTCGTAGTGATCCGCCTGTTTACAGCCTCCCAAGAGCCGAGATTACAGGCGCATGTGCACCACCATGCCCAGTCTCAACTGCCATCTCAGTGCACCCTGGGGGTGGGCTGGCATGGCAGGCTTGGGGATCGAACCCCTGGCCCCTGCACCTGCTTGCAGGCACTTTAATCAGCTGTGCGGTTTGGCCAGCCCACCTTTTTATCTACATGTCCTTGGGGCCTGTTTTACTGTCATAGAATGGGGTAATATGTGTCCCCTTTTTAGTGTTTGTCGAATGACTATAAAGTAGGAAAAATCTTTATTTTTTTATTTTTTTTTAACATTTATTTAGTGTGTGTGTGTGGCCAGCTCAGCCCACCAGGGGGCGGGGCTGGCTGGCATGTGGTGCTGGGGGATCGAACCACGGTCCCTGTGCTTTGCCAAGCTTGTTCCAAGTAGGTGCTTTAGACCACTGAGCCATCTCTCCAGCCCCAGGAAAAATCTTTACAAAAGTGAATTTTACATTACTGAGACCCTTTAGGAAGGACAGGGGGAAGGGAAACTCTCCACTTGGAATGGGAATGTGCCTACTCTCTCACCCTGTCAGCAACTCTGTTTCTCTCCTGGGAGAAGGAGACAGGCTCCAGAGCGCGGGAACCTGGCCGGGGCCAAGTCTGTCACTGGCTGGCCTCACTGGCACCTTCCCCCAAATGGGCCTCATTTTCCCATCTGTAACGTGACCTCCAATGTCCTTTGTAGTGCTGACACACTGTAGGGTAATTTCACACGCTGCTTATCCCAAGGGGAAAGAAACTCCAGCTTTCCCAAACCACCCTTGTGTCTTCAGGATACTTCAAATCCTAAAACTTTACATTTATCTTTATGGCAACTTTATTTACTTACTTATGCCTTTTTGAGACAGGGTCTTGCTATGCAGTTCAGTTCAGGCTGGCCTTGAGCTCACTTTGTAGCCCAGGCTGGTCTTGAACTTGCAGTGATCCTCCTGCCTCGGCCTCCCAGTCCTGGGGTAACAGGCTTGTGCCACGTCGCCCAGCTGGCAACTCTTTCTAATTGTATTTTCCCCAGCCAGGGGACTGAGCCCAGGACCTTTGCACTGAATTACATACCCAATGCTTTTTATTTTGGTGAAAAATGTATAATAGGTATTGTGAAGATAGGAAGAAAACATTCAAGTGAGGAGGAGAACATGGAAGAGAGCAAGGAAAGAGGAGAAAAGGGAAAAAATGAGAAAAGATGGAAACAAAGCTTTTATAAATGGGGCGAAGTGTGGGGGTTAAAGGGAGGGTAGGGGAATGGGAAACACGTTGTCAATTACAGGTACAGATTCTCTGAAGACTATGATCATTGTGTATATCTCAAATGTACCAGTAGAATCTAATAAAAAAAATTCTTCATGTGAGACTTGAAACTCCAACCCTCCTACCTCAGTTTTCCAGAGTTCTGGGATTATCAATATGCACCTCCATGCCCTGCTCCTCGTGACAACTTTGGAAGGGTCAGGGTTAGTTCCATGTATGCATGTTACAGACAAGAAAACAGGCTAAGAGGGCTGGCGAGATAGCTCAGTGGACTAAGTGCCTGCTTAGGCAGACACAGAGACCAGGGTTTGATCCCCGGCACTGGCACCACATGCTATGCCAGCCCCACCCCTGGGCATGCTGAGTGGGCTGAGACTGGGGTTGGTGGTGCACACCTGTAATCCCAGCGCTGGGGAGGCTGAACACAAGAGGATCAGTATGAGTCTGAGCTGCACAGTGAGACCCTGAACCAAATACTAAATAAATAAATAAAAGAAAATAGGGGGCTGGTGAGATGGCTCAGTGGTCTAAAGCACCTACTTAGAACAAGCTTAGCAAAGCACAGGGACCGTGGTTCAATCCCCCAGCACCACATGCCAGCCAGCCCCGCCCCCTGGTGGGCTGAGCTGGCCACACACACACACA